CTATGATCTTTATAAACTTATAAAACTGTATCTTTGTCTCTGTGTATTCTTTTATTTTCCATTTTTCTCTATTATTTTCTTATCCCTTGCAACTCTACCAAAGGGACCCAGTTTTTGCTGGGAGCTTAGCTACCTCCCCGCAGTGGCATGCACCTGTTCCCAGCTATTCGGGAGGCTGAGGTAGGAGGATCACTGAGCCCAGGAGTTAGAGGCTGCATTAAGCTATGATCACCCCACCCACACTCCAGTCTGGCCAACAGAGCAAGACCTTGTCTCAAAAACAAAACAAAACAAAAATATCAAACCCCTTTGTCTACCTGAATACCCACAGAGTTTATTATGGCAATGATATATTCCCACTGCAATGCTCTATTTCCAAATAGTCACCTGTTTTTTAGAGAGCCTGTTATGTAGGCTGACAAGCATTTCCTATAACCTTTAATATATCATCCAGATTGGTACCTTTTGCCAATGAACTTGGCTGACTTTTATGATTAACAAAAATAACTAAATCTATTGAAAAGAAATGTTTTCTACATCTGGCAGATTAAAAATTTTTTTTACTTAATAATTAAGTTCACTTAATGTCAGTAAAAATTTTGTTGTCACAGATCACAAGCAGATCAAGGCAGTTATCTGTAGGCCCCAATTTCTCAGAAATTATTAGATATCTGCATGAAATTTTTCCAACACTGTTCCCATTATATTAGAGTAATGATGTTCCTAGGTTCCCATTGTTCCTCCCACAACCTTCCCTCCCCCATGTCCCACATTAATGGATTAGCTGAGCGTTCACAGCTAATCAACTACTGAGCAATCTAGGGAGAAATCAGTTGGGAAAAACATCTACTAGAAGAAACAGGAGTTCTACACTTATGTCTGTCTAACTTTCAGAAAAAATAAATCTACTCTGTAAGTATATAAAATAGCATTTTCTAAAACACTGTTCTAAATTTGTATACAAATACTACTACTCTCATTATATCATACTGCTTCAACACATACACTGAGAACCAAGATTTAAAACCAAAAATCAGGAAACTCCCCTTTATGCACTAGGTAAAGGTTCATAATAGAAAGCTTATTATATAAACTTAGGAAAACACTGCCACGCTAATGAAGGAGATAGCATAATTCATCATAACAACTTTAATGACATAAAAATCCAAAATTTAATAACCGTTTGGGGAAAACTCTTACGTATCAAAATTTTAGAGATACAGTCCAAAATGATGCACTTAATTTAAAATAAAATGTAGATATTCCAGAAAAATTGGAAATGCCTCTAGATTTGTTTCCTTGAGAGGTGTAATGGCTCAGGAGTATGGCAGTGCTGATAGGTGTGAAGCTTTTAAGAAAAGTAAAAAAATAAGTACATAAATAAAAAGCTTGATAATTCTGTTTCCTCAGTTTAGGAAGGGTTAGATATCTACCCTACTAAATATAAGCCGTTCCAACTGATTAACATTTTAATATTAAGTCTTTTCCACTTAAAGAATTCAATTTGGTTTTGTTTAAAAAAAACTTCAGAAGTTAAACAAGTTATTTAAATGCATAAGTATTTAAAATAACTCACAGTGCTCAGAAGAGTGTCTGCCACATTTATAATGAAAACTACCGCATTTAATTCCTGCCTCATAACACATCCTGTAAATCACAGTGTCATTTTTTAATCTGTATGTGTTTTACATTTTAACTCTTGGATCAATGAATTCATGGTTAATATTATGTTTAGCTTATAAATGCTTCAAAAAGAAGGAAATGAGAAATTCAACTTTTTTATTTTATTTGAGAAAGCCAACTTAGTCTTTCAAACAGAGCAAAAGGTGCCCCTCCAATAATACTTCAGAAGTGGAACTTCCTTTCTTAGGACTGATTTCAGAACTACATATTCGCTGACTTCTATTTGTCAACTGTTCTTAAAACTGAGAATTTTCTGTTTTTGATGTCTTACCTCTTTAACAGTGAACATTTCACCTTGTGCACCTGCTGCCTGCAAAATCTTCAAAAGTGGCAGTTTTGGTCGTACCTGATGTAAACATAAAATAAATCTGCTATTTTACATTTCAATTAGGTTTCTGAAATCCTTGGAACAAGAGAACTTCCTTAAACACGTTTTTGAAAAACAAGCCCTGGTAGAAATTTATCACCTAATAATGTACAATCTTCCAAGACATAAAATAACTGCAGATGATCAGAAGACTACTTTGCTGCCATTCTGAAAAATCACATTTTTAAAAGATAATACATGATAGAAAACATGACTTGTGTTAATTCCTTTAAATTGGTACATGTTGCCTCTCAAACAGGTGGGCTATAAAATTATCACCTAATAATGTACAATCTTCCAAGACATAAAATAACTGCAGATGATCAGAAGACTACTTTGCTGATTTTCTGGGAAATCACATTTTTAAAAGATAAAACCTGATAGAAAACATGACTTGTGTTAATTCCTTTAAATTGGTACATGTTGCCTCTCAAACAGGTGGGCTATAAAATTGTCAGAGATCTTCAACTGGTAGGGATAAGGGCAATAAGAGAGAAGGTCAAGACAGAGACACATAGGAAGTAGGCTTTATATATTATAATTTATGAAATGGGGGGGTTAATTATTTCAATTTGAAAGAAATCTATATTTTCAAAAAGCAGTATTTTTTGTAGCTGTTTGAATTTCTTTTTGCATTCAATGACAAATGGGAAAAGCTTGGAAATTAGAATACCCCTTTTTGTCTGAGAGGTAGTGATTATAAAGATAAATGTTT